GCAACAAGCCCCGCAAAATTTTGTGATGAATGTGGAGCTCCTTATTTGAGGGAGACCTCAAAGTTCTGCTCAGAATGTGGTACAAAGAGATTAGGAATCTGACATGAATTTCACGTATTTTCTCTCTTCTTCTAAGTTGTAACTTGTAATTTTTTTTTCCTTTCCTTTGGGGAAATGATTTGTTAACACAAAAATGTTCTTAACTCTCTCTCTCTCTCTCTCTCTCTGGTTATAGATTAAATGAAGTTAAAAGCATGAACCTAAAACAACTTATATATATGAAGCAATTAACCTAATTTTATTATTATTATTTTACTTTTTTTTGATAACCGTAGATGTCCAAGCCAATTTGCGCGCACCTCGACTAATTCCACGGGATCCCGAAATTTACGGTCGGTTACTTACCTTAGTGGCCTTGAGAGGACTCAAACTGGTGACCAATTGAGCAACCACTCAATGTTCTAATTTTATTATCTTATCAACTTCACTTGTCACGAGGTCGTGGTTAATATAATTGGGCTATTCTTTATAGATTTTTACTAGAATTAATATGTAAGAGCTTATGACCAATATGTTAACATGTTTTAAAATGATGGTCAAATATTTGATTGTATTTTTGCATTATTATTTGTTTTTGCTTATTTTAAAATAAATGGAATCTTTTTACTCTATCTTAAAAGAAAATCTTGGAGATAAAGTATAAAAATTATGCTCCTTGTACACTCCTTGTATACGTGGAGTTTGACACTCCTTTGCAAATTCAAAAATGGAGTGGCAAGAAAGTGTGTTGTATTTTCAAACTGGTCAATTGTGCTGCAACATGTGGCACAATGTCAAACTTGATGTTAAAAACAATGTACTTGTAGCATGATTGAAAATATAACAAGAATAGTTTATGTTAATTTGAGAATAAGAATGCGATGAAAAAAGTTTGAAATATAGATGTGATAATGTGTAAAGGTTATGTTATGTACTTATCATGTAATTAAAATATATTTTAATTATTAAAAATGAATATATTTCACATAAAAATATAATGAAAATAGGTAAATTCTCATAACTCGGGATTTACCTCCTCGAGTCGTTGAGGGGTAGGTGGCTGGAAAAAAAAAAAAAAAAGAAGAGACTAAATGCTTTTCCAAAAGAATTAGGTTAGGTCTCTCTCTCTCTATTCTCTATCTAGGTTCTCTCTTCTCTGGCCTTTCCTTTTCTCTCTCTTAGTTTCTCTCTCCTCTCTCCAGAAGCGAGAGAATCCGAAAGAACTGTTTTTGCCCACAAGTAAGTTCTCTCTCCTACATACGTAAAACATATCTTTGTCTCTCCCCATCTTAAAATCTGAATAATAGCCCGCCATTTGTTTTTAAATATATTCTTGCATTTCATATGAATTCCTATTTATTTTGTTCTGGCGATTATTTTTACTTAAATTTTTTTTAATCCGTTTTTTGTCAGATCCATGTTTAAAACGGAAAGATCGATATAGAATCTATGTGTGTTTAATTTGGCGATTTATCATTTTGATTTACAACTTACATGAGAAGCGCTTTTTTTCCTTTTTCAATTTTCTGCGATTATTTCAATCCAATTGAATTTCCCATTTTAAAGATTTATTTGTCGTAGCGATTCTAAGGTTTGTGGGTGGTTGCGGGATTTTGATCAGAACTGCAATTCAAATTATGGGTCTGGGAATTTCTGAAGATTTGCTCGAGTCTGACGGTTTAGGATGTTGTTCTGTTCTCTTTAATTTAGTCTATGTACCTTTTGATGAAGTTGTCAAATTAGGGCCATCAATTTTGATTATTGCGCTGATTGTACACGTGGCATTCATTGTGCATTCACGGGTAGGTGTAGTACATAAGATTGAAATAATTGTGCTAAGGACCTAATGTGGTGTTCTTTACCTTGATCTCTAGTTTTTATGGACGACGACGGATTGAACATGAGAAATTGGGGTTATTACGAACAGCCTCCTCTTAAAGGGCATCTTGGTCTTCAACTCATGTCATCTTTGATGGAGCAGGACACAAAACCTTTCCTATTTGGGCGTGACGATCCTGTTATTGTTCCAGCAAATGGGGTTTTTCGTCCCAGGGATTTTGCTTTTACTGAACCCCCTGTCACACACTTGGACTATGTGAGAGACACTTGGATAAATCACAGAGATAAGTTTTTACATATGTTCCCTGGGAACTTGTATAACTCGGTTCTTGCAGAACCATCTGGAACTCAGAATTCTATGCAGATGTTAAACCAGCCTGATACAACCAAAGAAACAGAGGTGAGCATTGAGGAGTCAAGTGTTCAGAAGGATTCTGGCCGTGGCAAAAAAAGGTCAGCTGCCGTCACTGATAAATCCCCAAAAGCAAAGAAGTCTAGGAAAGGTCCTCCCGCACAGAAGGAAAATGGTAATTCCTCTGTTCACCGTGCAAAAATAGCGAAAAAGAATATGGATATTGTAATAAATGGAATTGATATGGATATTTCTGATATTCCAATTCCGGTTTGCTCTTGTACGGGTACTACACAGCAATGTTATCGATGGGGGTTTGGTGGTTGGCAGTCAGCTTGTTGCACCACAACTATATCTATGTATCCCTTGCCGATCAGTACCAAAAGACGTGGGGCTAGAATTGCTGGACGAAAGATGAGCCAGGGTGCTTTCAAGAAGGTTTTGGAGAAACTTGCAACAGAGGGATATAACTTCAGTAATCCAATTGATCTAAGGACTTACTGGGCAAAACATGGTACCAATAAGTTTGTGACTATCAGGTAGATTTATATTGTGGTTACTGCAAATGGATTGCTACTGCGTCTGGCGTGTTTTACATGTAAATATTTCGCAGCCTGGCAGAGGGGTTTTAGGTAACTAGACACAGTCCATGAATTTATATTGTCAGAATACATGTTCTAGAAGTTTTGATTTCGCGGATTCTCAAGAACCATTTTTTAATTTGTTACAGAGGCTAGAATACTTCTGGGTATCAAGAGTCGTATTATGAAAGAAGATTTGTTTTATTTCCTTTTGTACTTGAATATCAAGGATTCAACATACATTTCTTTTAATGCTTTGTTAATTATGACATTGCCAATGACAGTCACCAATCAACTGTTGCTCGACTGGCTTTGTATTGCTATGGTAATATAGTTTGCTGCTGTAATTTCCATGTTTAACTTTTATTTATGTGGAACTAGTTCCCATTTTTGTTGCAAATTGAACGAGAGAACGGTAATGCTTTGTTTACGAAGTTATAACAGCTATTGATTTTGTTCAGTGTTTTTAGAGTATAGGATTTAAAGTGATTTGTGAATTTGGACACTGATTTCCTTCCTGCTGCATATGTTTTGATATATATATTGGGGAAGGTTCCTGCTAGTTATGATACTTGGTCTACTTGTCCGTCGAAATTCTAGTAAATCTTTTAAATCAATGCTTAGTTTTTCAGGTCTCTAATTACAAGTTTTTACTTATATTAGTAGATGTCTTATGACAATAGTCCTCGTCTTTGATGGCATACGAGGTCTACGCTTATGAGAAATGCCTCCAAATTTATTAGAGAAAAAAAAAAAAAGGCTTAGCTAAGTTCTTCAGTTCTTTTTTGTGACGAGATATATTATGACGTTCGGCCTCGTCTTGGCCAAGCTGTTGGCTCGTTTCATGTGATGTCGGCCTCATGATGTATATACATTAAAAAAGTTTACTTTGTTGTTGTTTATGATAGAGATGTATTACTTGATATAGGCTATATATTTGATCAGTGTCAATTATTTACTTTAGGTTGAACTTTTATATTGAGTTTTTGAATTTTTATTGGAAATGGGTATTTAATAGTTCTTGTAAATTCAAGATGATGAAATCAATGTTGAAGGATTTAATGCTTTAGTTAATTGGACAGTAAGTAGTGACACGATATATATCTTATTTTAAAACTTGGTTTGTCATATTGTGCAAGCTACTACATATCATCCGCTAATATTTACGTTTGGCATCTGGTATGGGGTTGTGCTGGTAATAATGCGAGGGGAGTTTCTGCTGAATAATTGGAGCCCTATGTATCGGAGTTATGTTTAAAAAGGTGTAATCGAGTGTTCGGGCCTTTTTTTGCACGAGGTGAGGTATAATCTTTGAGGCGTAAAAATTTTTTTACGAAAAAAAATTTAAAATGCAAAATAAGATCATAATATATCATTAACAATCTTTGAAATTTATGATAGAACAATTTAAAGTATGCAAACAATTAAAAGAAAAATATATAAAGAAATTATTGTTGGTGGGGAGGAGTGGAATTATTCTCCAAGTAGGCTTATGGGAAATACATTTTCTTAATACTTTAGCGGGTATGAGATATTTTCAAAATTGATCAACTATAAATATGTTGTGTCACGAGCCTTGAACTTGTGTAGTCATGTGGATGCTTCACACGATTGAGATGTACACCTTTAAGACCTCGAGGTGAGTTTCAATTGGAGTTTTTAAAATTATGTAACGGAGTATCAAACAGTTTAGATTGCTTATAGGCAGGCATGATAATTTATTTGACCGATGACAGTAGTGAAATGGTATATACCTTGACCTGATTTGCTGAAAATAAATGTGGATGCATTGATTAAGGAATGCGATGGATTTTATGTTGTGGGTGTTATTTGTAGGGATGTGAATATGGGTGTGGTTGCAGCCATGTCGGAGTTATTCGAGAGGGCCTTGCATTTGCAGCTGGGCAGTATTGGGGTTTAGGTAATTGAAACAGCTTGCAACAAAGCAACGGATGCAGTAAACAAATCATCAATCTTGCACCTTAAGGGCTATTATCAAGTCCATTTTGGAATTGATGGGATCCTCCACATATCTTACATTTTCTTTGATACGAAGAGAGTTTGATCGCGTTGTTCATGATTTTTAGAACAAAAATAAAAAATAAAAAATTATAGAAATTATTAACTAATTTAATATTTATAACGTTAGGTATGTATTATTTTATTTATTTAATTGTCTTAAAATAATACTAAAATTAGCAAACAATTTTTTAGAACCTTGAAATCAAAGTTCATTGCTGTGATTGCCCAAATTGAAAGTTCAAAGACCTTATTGCAAGACTAAAGTTGAGTTATCAATGGTGAAATTTACTTTGCTGACTTGGCAATGCTAATAGAGTGGCCTAATTGCTCGCAATTAAAGTATAGTGATGTGATTCCTTCGAATTAAAGTATGGCAACTTGATTGCAAGTTAGAGTTCAATGATCGCATGTGAAATTTACTCAATTTTTTACTCACAAAAAAGATATTTATTTTGTTTTAACGATTTCTTTACTTACACTATTTTCTATGTATATATTCTTAAAAATTAATAATAAGTTAGCCATTGTTTGATAATTTTTCTGAGATTATAAGTTGGTGGATCTCATAAAATGTTTTATTAAAATGTAAATAAAAATTATGGATCTATTGAAATACGGAGTTAAAAATGAAATTTAAACCCTTTATAATCTAGGAAAAAAAAAAAAGAGAAAAATTCACTTTCCCTACTTTATCTTTACCCTATTTCAAAAATAACAAAACAACTTTTACATTTTACAAATCAGAAATTTTGACTTATACATACACATTTATATAAATATTTATTTATACATATAAATAAATAAATAAATA